AGCTGTCCTCAAATCGCATTCAATAGCATCCCTCCATCTCTTTTTTGGTCTTCCTCTATCTCTTCTTCCTTCAACATTCATTTCTATAACTGTTCTTACAGCTTTCGATTCTTCTTTCCTCATACCATGACTAAACAATCTAAGTCTATTTTCTGTCATCTTATCCACGATTGACGCAACACCTATACTTCCTCTTATATGCTCGTTCCTTATCCTATCTTCTCTAGTCACTCCATTCATCCAACTAAGCATTCTCATCTCTGCTACACTTATTCTCTGCTCTACTTTCTTATCAACCGCCCAACACAATGAACCATACATCATAGCTAGCCTCACAATTTCATACTGAATTTAAAAACTATAATTAGTATTTATTCATATATTATATTTTAAAATCAACGAACTACTAATCAGGATATAATTAAAGAAATAAGAGTCGATGTTGCTTTTGGAATAATCCACCAATTTCTCTAAATGAAACACTATCTACAGATTTGCATCGAAGCGTTTCTTATGATAGTGATTTTAATCACTGTCAGATATCATCTATACTTGGCCCATCTATGCCTCGTCCACACTGTGCCTCGACCCCACTGTGCTACCGTTTTTTTTTTTTTTAAATTTTTACAGTTTTCAACTGAGTTTTATCAGTTTCATATACGATATTATTATTATGACTGGAATTCAAATTGACACAAGCAGAACAGCAAACCTCTTATAAATTTATAATAAAAATATATATTAAATATTAATTTATATCTACGAAAAAAAACAAAGCTTAAGTATAAACTTAGTATTTACTTTGGATGCATACGCCATAAAGAAATATATATAAGAAGTATACGCAATTTCCTCTGAAAATTTTTATATCATATGTGATATCTGGGAAACGGATATATAACTTTTTCTGTTTTTAACACATTATTGACAAATTTTACAAGATAATTTTTTACGTAAAATTATATTTTAAATGTATTTTGTAAAATACTTTTTGTAGTGAAATCGAGTACGTAAGCCATGAAAAAATTCTGTTTTAAATAAATAATTAAAAATTTATTAGAAACTAGGAAAATATAGTTTTTATAGAACGTGTTTGATTCTATTCATTAGTTTGTATAAAATACTTAAGTAATCACAGTGCTTTGTTCCTACTGTATTATTTGTATTTTAAGAATCAAATTTAATTAGATTTTTTTTCATTTGTTACCACTTAGATTTTATATTATGATTATGCTAATATATGTTAACATAAAATCTGTTACCTGGCGGTCCTGGCATTCCTCTTATACCTCTTGGTCCCTAAAATGTAATAAAATTAAAGTTCACAAATTTAATAACAAGTCGAAAATATTGTTTGGTACTTGTTCGCCTTGTTCTCCAGAATCACCTTTTGAGCCTTCGGGGCCTGGTGTTCCTATTTTATATTATAATAATTTTAATAAAAAAAAAATCTAATCTAATATAAAACTAACCTTCCGGTCCTGTAACGCCAATTAAACCCATAGGTCCATCACTTCCTCTCATTGACATCTAAATAAAAAAATCATTTAATTCAGTGTAATAATATAAGCAAACTATAAACAAGTGTATGTAATGAATACCATATGTTGCGAAATCATTTGTTTAAACATTTCAATCTGACTATCTGGGCCTTTATCTCCTTGATTTTGGTTGAGCTGAGATATTTTATATATTATAAAAACATAAAAAATTATTATTCGTGTCTTTTAAATGTGCTAATACTAACTGATTATGTATACGTACAGGAATTAAAAATACATGTCCAGGAGGTCCTTGTATTCCAGTAAATCCATCAATACCATCACGACCTGGTTCTCCTTTTGGACCTGCTAACTGTTAAGTAAATGAAATTATATTAAATTTTGTAGTTGTCATAAATAGAAACCATAACATGAAAATCTGTTTTGAAAGCAAAACTCAATGATAACTTGAAATTTCTGTATAAATCTTAATTTACACTAAATTTAAATTATGACAAAAAAAGTCTTAACCTCTAAAAGTTTCTTCAAAGTTCTTGTAAATCTAAATTCTTTTAAAACATATCAGAAGGAACGAGTTCAAAATATCTTCTTTATTAATTAGATTTATTTAAAAATTAAAACCTTACTCCTATTTCTCCAGGTGGTCCCGGATATCCTCGAATTGACGGAAAACAAGTATTTTGATTTTCAAGCACTGGATCTATACTGTTTTCACTTCTATTTATTGTAATCTATAAATTCAATGTATATATATATATATATATATATATAGTATTAAATAAGAAATAAAAACAGAAATTGTAAATATTTTACACTAGTATTAGTATTTGACATGATATAAGTTGTAGTTGATTCAATTTCGTTAATATTTTCTGAGACTTCCAAATTATTGTTGAAAGTTGTTTTATTGCATAATTCATTCCAAATTTCACAATTATCATACGCAGCATCAGGCGTCGAATACAGTTTCAACTCTTGAATATCTCCCTGATTAGTAAAAAACTGATTATTAGTGACATATATTATTAGATTTTTAGTTTCAATAAAATCATTAAATATTTAAAATGTTATATTTTTTAGACAAAAACTAAAGTTAATAAAAAACAAAAATAATTAGGTTATTACAGTGGTAACAAAAGTGTATGTTCATTTTACAAAACAAAATATAAATTTAATAAGTATTATTGAATTTGTTTCAGGCGAATTAGGTTTTTTATAAAAATGGGGCGTGGTGCGGCGGTGACACACTAGTTGTTGACAAAACTATAGTGTTAACCCGCGCCTACCACCGTAGGTGAACGGATTTATGTACACTTAAAAGTTTTAAAATAATAAGTATTTATGCATAAAAAACATTGAAATAATTGAAATATGTAAAATACTTTATTTTTAGTTTAAACATTTATAATATAAATAAGTAATAAATATAGTATAACCTGGGCTATCTTTAGGTCATAAATAATATAATCAGGTCTCGGACTTCTCGGTTGTAAAAAAAAAAAATAATGTAAATTATTTTTGTCCTGAGCTACACAATTATTAAAGACACTCCTGAATATAATAATATTATAATCCATATTATGGATGTAAATATAAAAAAATTACTTTACATAAGTTCCATTGACAAAAACAGAGCATATTATTTAATTTTTAAACATATTAAGGAATAATTTATTAAATTTCACCATAATAGTTTTACATTTCTTACAATGGAAAATACCATTAAAGTTAAAAAGTATTTTTTTCTTATTTTCTATTTAGTATAAAATACAATTATATAATATTTTTAAATATCAGTAATATTACAAAGTGACCGGATTATTATAACTCAATTAATCACTTGAGAAATAAAATTAATTTCATGGATTTTTTAGTCATATATTACATAATTTCTCTAATAGATGTTGTAGGGGATTAGTTACTCTCAACCAATGTTGCCAACTCATCAAAAACAAATTATAATTTAATTTGACCATATTGATATAAAATACGAGTCATGGGAAAAAAATTGTCTATGTCTTACCTAATTACTCGAAGGATTTCGATGAGTATAATAGGATAATAAAAGAAATAGCACAACATTTCTAATCGGTATAATTAGAGCTTTCAAACAAAACTAAATAAGAAAGAATTGTTCTTATATATTTTTTGGTGTTTTTTTCTTGTTAAAAAAATATGATGAATAAAAAAAAGTTCCTCGATTATCTATTTCTAAAATAGATCAATTTTGATATTTTTTAAACTTTTTTTTTAATTTGTCATTTTTTTAAAAATTTGAGAAATACAATTTTTTTTGTAAACACTAAGTATTTTCTTTTTACTAGATATATATATTTTGAAATACTAACTGACTTTTATAAATATTGAACTTATAAAAATGTTCCGGATAAACTACATCTTTGAAAAACTGTTAAAGTAAAACTTATATTGCGTACTATAAGTTAAAAAAAAAATTGTCCCGACACGTGTAAATTGTCACTAGAGTTAAAAAACATGGTATTTTTGTGTTGAAATTTTTTATTTTATATTTTAGTTTTCTAATAAATAGAAATAACATATTGAAAAGTGTATGGATTAACATAATTTTTTTATGAGAAATAATATTTTTTAATTATCCCTTTTTCATTCGACATACTTTATCTTAATCAGGATATTAATAAGGAACTAGCAGATCATATAGATTTTGGAATAATCCACCAATTTTTTAAAATTAAACACTATCTAAAGATTTGCATCGAAGCGTTTTTTTTTTTGATAGTGTTTTAATCACTGTCAGATATCATTATACTTGATCCAACTATACCACGGCACCACTGTGCCGCGACCCCCCTGTGCTGGGTTTTTTTTTTTTTGTAAGTACTTTATACACTTCTCTTTTATCTGATATACTTTTTTTAATTAAAATACTATAAAATGGTAGGTTACAATGATGGATCACCTATTTCATAAATTTGATATAAATGTAATCTAAATTAAATATAAAGTTACACTTATTTGGATTTTTTTTAACAATGTCTCTTTCGTAAGTCGAAAAATATAATATTGAAAATTTGAGTTAGTTTAAATTCCTAATTTATCATTCTAGAAGTGCATTATACTATTATTTTTGGTCAAATATTCACCGTTTTTCGTGTTATTTAGCATATTTTTAACTACGTCAACCATTTGCACATAGACGTGGGGACAATTTTTTTTTTAATTGTAGTAAATTACATAAGCTTTAATTTAATATTTACATAAATGTGTCAGTATTTATGCAACATTTTCAATAGTTAACTTGAAAAAGTTCTATACGCGTGTTCAAAAAATAAATTTGGTAATTTTAAGTAAAAAAAAACTAAAATTAATTGGAAAATTATCTATTCTTAAAATTGTAATCTTTGAGGTGTTTCTCCCATTTAGTTAGTTCGAGGGAAATGTTTTTCAATTTTCAAGGGTAGATGCGTTTTATTTGTTTATCTATTTTTATGTTTTGCTTTACAATGTCGAATTTGCGCGTGTTTAACAAATATTTAATAACGAAAAATTGATAAGTGCACCAACAGTAATTTAGATCAAGTTACGTTGCTACCGTTTTTGTTGTTAACAATGGACATGTATGAAACTATAATTATTCAACCAAACCAAAGATTTCTAAAAAAATGAACTTTATGATAAAATTTGAATTTTAACCTAACTTTTGCCATATTGAAAAAATTTAATTGTAACTAATTGTAAGGAATTTTTTTTGATATCATATTTTATTCAATGCCATAAAAACCATTGGCTACACATGTCACCCTATTTTCACCCCCTAAAAAAAAGTTCAAATTAAAATTCTCTTTTTGACATTTTTTTAATTGAAAATATTTTTTTTGCAAAAAATCTTTAAGTTTTAGAATAATAAATTTTTATGAAGAAGATTTTTTTTAATTTATCAAAGGAATTTTTAATGAAACATTTCAATAGATTTAGGTACTATTTAAATTTTCCATTATTTTGTTGACTAATTGACTTTTCCGTGTAAGTAAAAACTATTATAAATTACAAATGTGGAGCTGTCAAATATTTTTACTTTTGTAAATAAACGAATATTGAAACTAAAACAAATATTTTGAGATTCAAAAGTGTCATGTTTGTTTGCCATAAAAAATATTCAATATAGGTATTATATAAATGTAAGAGGATATTATAATGAAAATCACACTGAACGCACATAGATCATTAGAACCGTATTTGGTTATTTTTTGTACAAAAATTGCTTCTATTAAAAATAAATTCATATGTACGTTTAATATGTAAAAATAATTTATTGATTGTTTCAAACTTCTTTTCTTTAAAGGTATGTCTTATCGCATTAATATGCTCTTTTGCTTGATAAAAATATATTTAAAATAAATTATATTCTCTATAAAATAATGTGAGCTATAAGATTTTTAAACTAAACTAAATCATATGAATATATTTTTATACGGTCAATATTTTACTAGAAACAGAAATAATATTAAGTACATTAAACTAATGTACTGATAATTTTATTAGAATTCTATACTTGTTATATTATTACTCATAAAAAATATTTTTACCGAATAATATGTCTCATCTAACTGTTGCCCAACCAATAATATTCCTGATTTACTTATTGTTGTATTTCTTTTTAGTTCCTGTGTAAACTGTTGCTCACAATCCAAAATTAAAGTCACCGAATTTCCTTTAACGCTGAATGATAATTTATGCCATCTAAAAGAATAAAACAATTTTAAGTAATTTGATTGAATTATATTAAATGAAAACTATCAATATATTTGATAAGTAGTCTACGAAAAATGTAATTAATGTTAAATATATTATGTGTATTTATAATATTAAATTGATAATACAGTATGTTTAATGTAAATAATAAAATAATTGAACTCTTCATAGGCTTGTATTTAAATTACCACCGGGTTAACATAAAATTTGTTATCCTAATATTGACAAAAATTTAAAAAGAAAGCTGAGAAACTCCTACAAAAAAAAATTATCTTACTACCATTGCCGGTTTTTGTATTTTAAATTTTTATTTTTCTATAGTACTTACTCTATAATAAATATAAATATTAATATTCATTAATTTAATATTAACCTTTAATTAAATATTATATATGTCAATGTAAGTTATTCATTGAAAAACCTATATAATCAAAATTGAATATTCGTACACTAGGCTTCGCCTAGTTGAGGCACAACACCAGCCCAGGGACTCTGCGAGTTTCAAACGCTTACTGCGCGTAAAATCTTTTTGTCCCTTCGGGTAGACCACTGATTTTGATAGGAGTGTCGGAACTATATAATTTGTGCAAAAAAGTGTTACTACAGAAGAAGTTTAACAGAAAGTTCACAATAGTAAATTATATAATAATTAAAAAAGTAATAATATGTCTACAAAATACTTAGGTGTATTCAAAATTAAACTTCGTAACAATCTAGTAATTATTATTCAGCAGAACAGGTAGGAGAAATAAAACTTAATAATTATTAAAAACAATATTCAATTGTCACTTTATCAGTATAAACTACATTGACAAACATAATTTAAACCAAAATTATTTCGTACTCAAAACTATGTGATTATGGACTTAGAATAAAAGCTCATAACTCTTTCAAAGATCTTTCATTTAAAAAATATGATATCCACTAAATTTCTATGTTTTATTATATAATAAAATATATAATTTACTTATGAACTTGTAATATTATTCATTGAATTATTGAAAAATTTTGAAGGACTCAAAAGTAAAATGAGTTCAATGTAAGTGATAATTCAAAGTATTAGTTATAATAATTATAATAATACATTGATTAATAAACTAATAAAAATAAGTTACTTTGAGATTGATTTTTAACAAGTTTAAAATCTTTCTTTTTTGAAAAAACATATCATTGTCTGTTTTTTTTTTATAAATACTGCGGTGAAAACGTTGGAAATACCAAATAAGCAATATTTGAACTTTTGACGATTTTCTTGTTAAAAAAACTCACTTGAATTTAAAGTAAACTATACGAAATTAATTATGTGTTATGTGAAACACAAAATATTTGTAGATTTTTTGTTTTAATAAATGAATGATCTATGTTTTTATATGATAATAATGCAAAAAATATAGTAATGGAATTTTGTTTTTGGGTAAACTCAACTTAACAAAAGTTTTTTTGATTATAGGAGGTAAATTTTAAGTTGTTAAAATATTATTTTATTTGATTTTTTTTTAAATATACGTCAAAAGATTACAAAAAGTCTCTAGTTGAAGATACTACCCTCGAAATTCAAACAAATTCTCTAGTTTTCCATGAATGTAAGAAATTTAAAATTGTCAAACTTTGTTATTTTTTAATTTTTTTGACATTTTTGTTAAAAATTTGGGGTAAAAATTGCAAATTTTGCATTTTTGTTTGAAAAGGATCCGGAAATTCTGCGTTCTTTAAACAAATGGTATGATACGTGCTATAATTCGATATACTTTTATTTTAATCTGATATTTTCGCTTTAGGTAGAACGATGTTTAAAACTTGAAACATACGTATAAAAAGTAAAAATTTTTCAAATCAATATTTAAAAACGTTCTGCAACTTATGTTCAATGTGTAAAAAATAATTTTTGTGTAAAATATCGTTATATTTTTGTATTTTTTTCTTATTATTATTATTTCGATTATTAGTGCCATTACTTTATCCCAAGCAGTAAAGTTTCAAATGATTTAATACGCCCAATTTTTTAAATTAGCCATCTCATAAAAAAAAAATTAAATAATATTTAAAAGTGATTAAATATAATTATTTTTAAAAAAGGTTATTGTATATTGTATAATAAAATATCGAATGTCAGAACAATCAAACTTTCTTTCAATTTAATTACAATGAAGCATTTTATGATACACCCAGAGAAAAACCTCGATCTATATAATAAATTCATTGTTCAATTTGATAAATATATCATTACTATTGAATCTATGATATATTTATCAATATGATATTTTTTTTTCTTGTCTTGAACAATAATTATTCATAAGAATAATTATTTTGTTCGTATTAATAAAACATTATCACAAACCCTTGATAAAATTTCTCTATTAAAATTGATTGAGGTTTTTCTTTAGGTGTAGAAATTTAAGTCACAATCAGATTCCAATCTTTAATAGCTCCTCTCTTCCAAATCTTCAATGTAACGAGTCCCGAATTTAATAGATATTTTTTAACTCATCTTTGAAGTATAAATTTCTTTTTTATAACTGAATAATTCTCAATGATATTCTTAAAAATTAGATTACTTAATAATACTAGATTAATTCATAATATGTGTACTTACTGGCCATCGTTAACTTCGTATTCAAATCTAAGAATGTTTTTTTGATCGTCTCGTGCTTCAATGTCATTATAAAGTAACTGAATATCATTTCCTAAAATTAGACCTAACTGCTCTTCGCCCGCTTCATTGTAAATAGTAAAGACAGCATTTCTTACTGAACCTATTTGAATACAATCTTGATAGTTTGTTGTCACATTATAATCAAAAAAATTAGAACATTGTATGAAACACTAACTATACATTATTTTAAAACATCACAACCCACTTTCATATATTTAAGTATTTTCAATTTATGAATGTTAAAACTATAAATATGTTTTTAATCTTGTTTTCCTTAAATAATTTTTCAACTATTAATTTTCATTTTTGTAAAGAAAGAGAACGAATATATCCATTAAGAACCAACATAGTGATACAAAGAGACAAAAATAAACTCATACTACAAGTCTGGGTAATGTAATTTATAAAATTACATATCAAAAAAAAGTTAAATGATAAGTTATTATAGTAAATATGTTTACTACAAAGGAGTCAGAACAAGTATGGAAGTGGTTTTGAAGGTTAGATAATGCAGTATTTTAAAATCATCTTCGTAATATTAACTCATAACTAAAAATAAAAACCCAGCACAGGGGGGTCGCGGCACAGTGGTGACGTGGCATAGTTGGATCAAGTAAATGATATCTGACAGTGATTAAAACACTATCAAAAAAAAAAACGCTTCGATGCAAATCTTTAGATAGTGTTTAATTTTAAAAAAATTGGTGTTTTATTCCAAAAGCTACTTGATCTGCTGGTTCCTTATTAATATCCTGATTAAGGTAAAGTATGTCGAATGAAAAAGGGTTTATTAAAAAATATTATTTGTCATAAAAAAATAGTGTGGATCCATAAACTTTTCAATAAGTTATAGCATTATAAAGTTAAATAT